AATAAGAATTAGAAAGAATAAAAGCCTTCTTTTAAGTAATCCAAGCATAAATAAAAAGTATATTTGTCCAAATCAAGGTTTATATGTTTGCAGAGTATGCCTAGATTTGCTGTTTTAAATTATTTTTGACACTATTCTTACTAATCATGTCTCGTAATAAAAGTGCATATAATGATTCATTCGACATATTCAAAGATTTTAAAGGAAAAGAAAGATATAAATGTCATAAGTGTGGAAAAGATTGGGCCAAAAATAAAACAAGACTACAAGAGCATTATAATTCTTGTATTTTGACAGAAAATGTAAAAAATAGAATTTCTTCTGGATTTAAATGTCAATATCAAGCTACAGTAGATAATTTTGTATATAAATTATCTAAAACTAATCAAAAAAATTTAGAAAGTCTATTTGTGTGTGCTTTTTATTCATCAGAAGCTTCCTTTAATATTTTAGAAAATGAGAATTGGCAAATTTTTTTCTCAAAAGCTTGTCCATCATTTAAACTTTTCTTAAAAAAATCACTTTCTAATACATTACTTAATCAAGAATATGGTGATATTAATATTGTAGTTCAATACTTATTTAATCAAATACAGTATTTTTCACTTATTACTGATGGTTGGTCCAATATTAATAATAACTCTATTATTAATTATATGGTAACAACACCAAAACTATTTTTTACAAATCAATTACTATAAAAGAAGTGCAACACATAGCTAATAATATAGTATTAAATAATAAAACAATTATGTTAGAAGTAGGAATTGATAAATTTGTTGTCGTAATTACTGATAATGCTTCTAATATGAAAGCAGCATAGAGAATTCTTAAGGATAAATATCCAACAAAAATCTTTTTAGGATGCTAGGCCCATGCAATTAATTTGTGGATTAATGATATTTTGAAAATTAAATGAGCAAAAACTATTTTAGAAAAATGTAAAGGAATTGTATTATATTTTAGATCATATCAAACTATTTTAGCTACTCTTCGACATCTTCAAATAGAAAAATATAGACAACAAATTGCATTAGTTTCAATAATTAAAACATGATGGGGTTCTGCCTTTAAATATATTGATCATCTTCTATGAACAAAACTGGTAATAAAATCTATTTTAAGTAAAGATAATTTAAGAATCGATAGTCATATTCAAAATTTAATTATTAATGACAGTTTTTGGAAAGATCTTAAATATCTTCATGACTTATTAAAGCCATTTTTAATGTTTATTCACCTTTTAGAGCAAGATAATTCTTTACTTTTAGTGTGTATATCAAGTTACTTGATATAAGGGTAGATATATATAAGAATCAGCAAGTTTCTAAAACTTTTTATAAAAAAGTTTTGTGGTTAGGGCACAAATAATAAATTGATTTTTTGCTTAATCCAGCAATTTTAGTTGCATATAAATTAGATCCATGGTATCGAGTTGAAAAACTTAATCCACAAAAATAGGATTATATTATAGAAGAAAAAATTATACAGCTAGCTGAATTAAAAAATGAAAATAAGGCTTTATTAGAATTTGCAGAATATATTGGTAAAACAGATAAATTTGCAAGGCCTCATTTATAGGGTGCTGTAAAAGAAAACCCTCAAAATTGGTAGAATTTAGTAAAAGCCAGATATCCAATTCTTAGTTCTGTTGCTTTTAAAGTTCTTTCTATTCTGGCAACCTCTGCTGCAAGTGAAAGAACCTGGTCATTATTTGGCTTTATTCACTCAAAACTGCATAATAGATTAAATAATGAGTGGGTAGAAAAAATTGTTTTTATTTATTAGAATCTTCAAATATTGCGAAGTTTAGATTGGCCATTATCAGTAAGTGATTTAAAAAAAACTGGTACTATTATCGAGAAAGAAATTATCAACAATATAATAGATAATGAAGTTGATACTAGTGAAAATTTGATATTCGAAGATGGAGAATAGATGTTGAATGAAGATATGTCTTTTGAATATAATGAAGAAAATTTTTAAGAAGTTGAAAATTTTAAAAAATACTCAGAAAAGAGTTTTGAGAAAAATTTTGAAGAACAATTTAACAAAAAATATCATGAAGATTATGAAAATTCTGAGACATATTTTGAAGAGGATTTTGAAGAGTATTATAAAAGCAATTTTGCAACCAACTTCGAAGATGATTATTAAGGTTTGTATTGCTATTAGTTTATTGTTGAATTTGTTATTACTACATTGAAAGCTTAACTAACTAATTAGCTTTTAGGTTATTGAAATTTTATGAATTATAATAAGATTTATGCAGTCAATTATTACAATCTTCAAGGTCGCAAAAATTTTTTTAAAAAAATTTACTTTAATATATATGATGCACTTATAGTGCTTTATTAAGTATATATATATAATAATCATTTTACTTATTATTTACATTTTTTAAAAAATTTTAAGGTTAATCGAAGACCCTTATTTAGAAAGATCATGAATTTAAAAAAGTTTATTATTTTATAGTTGCTATCTTATGACTATGTATTATTTATTGTTATTATCTTTATATTCTTATCTTATAGTTATATATCATACATTTTATTATATTTAAAAATAACAAGTGCAATTATATATTAAAAAAATTAAAGTTATTTGCAATTATAAAAGAGGTGACAGCTAAATGTTTATGAAGATACAAGAATTATCATAATATGAGTTTATTCTTTGTTAAATTATTATTGTTATACTTGAGATAGCTGCTAATTTGGAGAATCTCAGGGCTATTATACATTACATTTAGTTATAATTATTAATTATTACTTTTACCAAGCTATATTATATCTATTTGATCGAATAATTATATGCGATATGATTAATCTAATATATGTAATAATAATAAATGCTATGTATAACAAATATATAATATACTATCTAACAAAAATGTTAGTTATATGCATTTTGAGTATGTAGTCTTGAGTTTACTTATTTCTTCCACTACTTCTGATTGGCTGTACTAATTATTCAATTGTCAGGTTATTTATATTATTTATTAATCAAAAAATAAAAATTTCATATAAAAATTTGCAATGTTGCTATTTTGCTCTTAAATTATATTTAGAAGATTAAAATTTTACAAGGAAATTTTTTTATTAGTGTGCAGAAGATAGTTTTATAGATCGATTTAGAGTTATAGACAATTTAATATTTTTTATATTTTCTTTGCATTTCTTTTATATTACACCTAATCGTGAAACTTGATTGGTGCCAAGAAGTGAATTATTAGTATGGCCAATCAAAAGTGGTAGGAAAAATAAGTGCTCCCTGTAGTTTTAACATTTGTGATGCAAAAATCATTATTAAATCAAAATTTATAATTTAAATATATTATTTTGTTTAATAACTTTAAAATTTTTTATTTTAAACTTGATTTTTATTAGCCAATCAGAATAAAAGTTTATCATGCTATATAATGGTTTTATAATTTAGACTAATTTTAGTATATACTATATATTTGTAACTTATATCAGAAACATGTAAGTTACATTGTCAGATAAGTTATCCCAACCCTATAGAGAACCCATTAGCAGGTTTCAGATATGGCAATTAGCAGATAATCTGCAGGCAGAACCTTTAAATAGACAATAACTAAAGTTGTATATATGGCTAATTGTAGTCTTGTTAATAGACTTTGTATATAAAATGATGTAATTGTATATTACTTAATAAAGACATACAGGCAAGATTACTATTTCAAAAGAAAAAAAACTAAAAATTTTATAAAAAAATCAAATTTTAGCTAGTAATGAATTTTTTTTTTTTTTTTTTTTGGTATTAAGGTGAGGCCTTACTTATATCTTTATTAGTAATTTTAGTTGTACATATTAATATACTATATGCTAAGATATACTAAGATTGTAAACTACAAAATAAAAATTACATATAAGAATTAAAGCTCAGACAGTTTTATCTGTGACCTAAACTGACTATGGTGGTCAAGGCCCACCTAGATTTGTAATGT